CCGGATCCCACACCGACACCCGAAAGAAAACATGCTCCGATGTGTGGAGTTCATCCGAGCCATTAACGCGTTTGCAGACATTCAAAGCCTTTCCTTCATAAACACCAGAAAACCGCAAAATGAAACTGAAACCAAATAAAAGCGTTTTTATTGATCGAAAAAAACTGAAATTCGTTTGTGAAGGTGAAAAATCAACAAAGTTCCCAGTTGGAAGAAGGGCAGAGAGAAGGAGGAGGAGGGTGAGAGGTGAGGTGAGGAGGAGAGGAGGACGGGGATTCCCCTGCTTAACGCACACACACACACACACACAACACACACAACAATGTGAAGGTAGCCCCGCAAAGAAGCGCTGCTTTCATTACGCTGCGGGAAACATTGACAGGCAGCCACATAAACCAGATTAAAACACTAATATTATATATATTCAACATAAAACAGATGTTAGCCTACCACAAAAAATAAACCAACATTAACCCGTTATTAATGAATACCTTTTCTTCCTTTTCTGCTGCTGGTTCAGAAAAATAAAAAGCAAATTATTTTCCATTGAAAATAATAAAGAATAAAAGACCAACTGACAAGCAGAGCAAAAACGACTAAAACGAGGTGTTCGGTCGTGTTGGGTTTGTGCGGGACTCACCTATTGAGCGCGAGGAACAAGACGACATTGGAGGACCAGGTACCTCCCTAGCTCTTCTGCCGTCCCCTCTACCCAAATGAGAGCATGAGATTCAGAAAGTTGGAAGCAGCTGAGGAGGAGCCGCACATTCCCGCATCACACAGCACGCTACATCCAAACACTCTCCTCCTCCCCTCTCTTCCTCCTGCCCTCTCCTTCTCTCTCTGCCTCCTCGCGTTCGCTCCTCTTCCTCCTCTCATCGCTCTCCGTCGCCTCTGCGCTCCTGCCTGTTTTACGCTCTGGAGATAAAAAAAGCAGGAAAGAAGAGAAAGCCCCGCCTCTTCCTCCCTCTCCTCCTCTCTCTCCTCCCTCTCCTCCCCCTCCTTCTCCGCCCTCTGTTGCCATATGGTCATCACCCTTGTCCTATTCAATTTTTGTATCCCTTTGTTGCTGCTCCGTAAATCAATATCACTTAGAAAACCTTTTTCACACAGCAAGGTGGGTTAAAACCAGATGTCCAAATGAGACTAATTGAGCCATCCATTTAGGTAGCTAAATGGAAACAGTCTGCCTTCTTGTTGTAGATTTCAGTTTTAAAACAAAGAAGAAACAATATGAATGATAAAAAAATCCAAAAAGAATATAAAAATAAAAAATAAAATGTATATAAAAAGAATTAAAAAAACAATTACACGCAGATTTTTCAAGGGAGTGCGACGTTTTGGGGGTTTTGCAGCAAGTCACAAGAAAGGAAGAATCTCACTTCATTTAAATGTTTATTTATTCTTTTATTAGATTCAATCACTACACTGTAATATATATACATATATATATACATATATATATATATATATATATACCATGATAAATACTGTTACTCTTACTTACAATCTACTGTTACAGTTAAAGGATATTATTGAGTTTTATTCTGTATTTTACCGTATAAACAAACGTTTTTACCATCAAAAGAAACAACTGCAGGCTTACTTATAAATACAGTGATTGTAATTCTATTACTGTGATTACAGTTAAGTGATTAAATTCCATATTTTAGCATATAAATTAAAGATAAAGTTTTTATCATAAAAAAACATTTTTGCCACATGAAAAAGGTTTTTGTGTGAGAATATGACGGATTTACAGTCTGTAATGTAATAAAATGACTTTATTCTTTCTAAATTATTTGAAAGTGCTGTAGAGATAAAAAGGTTTTATTGTTACAGTAAAATCTACCAACATTTTTTACAGTGTGAACTGCCTTTATTTGGAACAGGCCTCTAATAGAGACACCAGGCTAGTAAAGGAGACCTGTCATCTGTCCGCTGAGGTTGTCAGAACTTTACCGTAATAAATAATATAAAACTTTATTCTGTATAAATTCATTTAAAATGCTGCTTCAATAAGAGTCACAGAAACTGTATTTAACCTATTTCAATAGAGAGTTCACGGTCTTTTACTTTGATAGTTTGACAGTTTTTCACCATAAAATCTGCAGACTTAATATTGTTCTGTTCTGACAGATTGACTGTTTATTGATCAATCAGCTGATTGGTTTGTGATGACGAGGCTGTTGATCAGAGACTGAAGCTCTGTCAATACAACTTATATATAAACCTTAAAAACACCTTCATTCAGTTTCTTTCTCAGAAATGAATCAAACGCTGAGTTATCGGCCTGTTGTGGACAACTTGAAGTTCTTCCAGTCCAGAAGGCCTCTCGGTCCCCCTGTGAGGCTTTGGCGACCCCTAGTGGAGGTCCCGACCCTCAGGTTGAGAACCACAGACTGTGTGACTGACCTTTGACCTTTTCCCTACACAAACACACAGCTCAGAGGATCCTGTGGTTCTGTCCAGGTTCTCCTGTTGCATTCTGGGAGGAAACACAAACTATATTGAATCATTATTGATTCATAATAACCAATAAATCACATTTACTGCGGAAATATTCTTCTTTTATTATTATTAAGATTAATGATTAATTATTGATGGTCAAGGTGCTCACACAACATTAAAGAAATAGAAATAATAAAAATAATAAGAACGTTAAAATATGTATTATATTATAATAACTAACAACAATATATAATAATATAAATATAAATAGAGTCTGAGCACATTAGAATAAATATATGTCTGCTACAGTCGATGAGTGTAATCAATAATCAATACAGTATTGTTGACAGAATAATAATAATAATAATGAATCAATATTCTACATACACACTGTATCAGCAGCTTCTGAAATCTGACATATTGTATAAAATGTTTTCTACTTCGAGGAGATTCACGTTTATGTTCATTAATAATAATTTAATATTAGTATAATAAATAATACAAATATATAATAATAACTCTACACTGCCCCCTGTGGTGGAGGATAGGAAGATATTTATTTACCTGTAATCATTAAAGATAAAAACATAATAATTATATAATCATTTATACTTGAAATGGAGTATTTCTACTCAAGTATCTTCCACATTAAGTTTTAATAATTAAAATATTCTGATCAAAGTAATCAATAATCAATGACACATTCAGTGGTTTTCAATATGCTTTTATTGTTATTCAAAGGTTCATTAATAAAGATATTAAAGCCACAAAGCAAAGACATAATTACACATTTCATCTTAAAAGATTTAATATCCAGGATGTGACTGTCAGCTCCTGATCGCTGTTTATTGATCCATTCATATTTCATACAGACTCATTCTGACACTGATTGAACTGATGGAGAAAGAAAATCCTTCATTTGTTCTGATTAGATTCATTTTAGGAGGTTTAATTTGTTAATGGACAAAAGTATGTGGACGCCAACCACTGCAATCACATTAGGTTCCTACGTATGGATGTCCACGCACTTTTGGCCAAGTTTACATGATTACTGCCAAAGTTTAATTTGAATTAAAATCTAAAACAACTGGAACCAGATGTTTTATGTTGCCTGTTTGCTCTTTGATTATTTGTTCTGATTGTTAAAAGTCTGTAAATGTTGTGTTTCATTATTTGTGTTCAATTAAAAAACTAAAGTAACTTAGTATGTGGACGCAGTTGCATATGACTGGAATATATGTGTGTCCATATACTTCTGGCCAAGTTTACATGATTACAGCCAAACTTTAAACTGCTGTTTGTGTGTTATTATTTCTGTTTCCAGTTTTGGGAGATTTTAATATCTTAATAAGTTCTTTATTCTCCTGTCTGACCACACTGCGACCTTTGACCCTTCAGGTTCCTCTCTAAACTAAACAAACGGAATTTGTGTAAACAAAATTAAAAAAGAAAACAATTAATCAAAGAAGTTGTTTGTGCCGTTAGTTGGCTCCGCCCACTGTGTGATTGGTGGAAGCGTGGCGTAAATGGAAAGGGGGTGGGGTCACATCTCTGTGGACCAATCATCTCAGGCGCTGATGACGATGTCAGCCTTTCCCCACACCTGAAACAGGATCAATAAAATAATAAAACTACCGGTTCTCATGTTCACACAATCAATAATGTACTCAACAGTTTTAGGATGTTGCATTAAGCCTTTTAACAAACAACTGCAGACGCTACGTGTTTACATTTCTATCCTATTTGTGGACGTTTTGCTCACATTTAGCAGGATTAGTAGCTGTTCTTTGAGCTGCTTACAGTTAGTTTATCAAATATATACTAATGTTCGTATATACTTATTACATATTAGCATAGAGGAAGTTACCTGGCGGAGGTAGCTGCTGTCCAGCACCGCAACGATCTGACGGGGTCCAACCAGCCGAGGGAAGAACGACTCCTTCCAGGAGATCGACGCCAGAGGATCAATGACCCTGAAACACAAAATAATGACTTTGATCAAATAATGAGAAAGCTTCTGAAGATAATAATATAATCCCTTCCTTTCCTGTCACATTGGGCTTCCACACATCAGACAGGTGTGTGTGTGTGTGTGTGTGTGTGTGTGTGTACCTGTAGTAGCGTGTCCTGTGGGTTATGAGTCCGGATCCCTCCATGGCCAGGTTAACGCCCTGCAGGGGGAAGTTGAAGGGGTTGGTGAAGGAAACGGTCACCGTCATCTCCTGCTGCACCTGAGGCCGGCCCCTCACCTACAGAACAACAACAACAACAACAACAACAACGAGTTGCAGTAAATGGCTGTGAACATTACGGTCCGTACAGATGCTTTTTATTGTGTGTGTGTGTGTTTTACCGTGAGGGTGAGGCTAGGGGTCTGCATTTTTATCACTTTGATGACGGACACTGATTGGTCGTCAGCCTTTCCAGTCACAATGAACTGCAGGGAGAGCTGAGAGCCCAGGTAAGGCATGTACTCCTGAGCGGGGATCTTAAACTTCACACGCTCGGCTGCAACACACACACCCACACACACACACACACACACACACAGATCCTTGTGTTACTATATTTGTGGGGACCCTAACCCTGCAAACGACCCGTTCACGCTGATGTTGCTCACTGTAATTGGCCGCCACGGTGACAGTGAAGTCCTGATCTCTGAAGCTTTTGGATATGACTCCGGTGTAGAAGATGACGGAGCCGGTCAGGTGAGCTTTGACCGTGGTGGAGTGTTCAGTCTGGTTCTGGAAATCCACTGCCAGGTTCACATCCTGACCCAGACTGACCTGGACAGGAAAAATACAAATACTTAAAGATTATCCCGAAGAGAATGAAAAGAAAACATTTGAATATTCACAGGTTGTTTAATTTTTGTAAAATTAGTAGATGACTTTTTAAGGATTTAAAAGTTGTAATTATGTCTTTTTTGCAGGTTATTTGTATAAATGTGTTAATACTGTTACAAATGTCATATTTTATAACCTCTTCACATGTTTTGTGTGTCAAAATCTAAATAAAGTGTATTTACTGGTGTTATGTATTTTAATTCTATTGAGCTACAGTGAGCGCCCTCTACTGGTTGGAACTGGTTATTGTGAGCGCTTTCATGGCTGGTTAGTTGTTGAGAGACAGATGTGTGGACAGATGTGTCACCAGTTCAGCCGTGATGGCGACAGTCAGCTGGGCGTCAGGTAGCTCAGAGTGATCCCTCTCACAGCCGTAGTCCTCCGCCCGAGCCATAGTCCTGTTGTCTTCTGCGCTACCTGGAGACAGAAACCAGTTCAGTACACATTCGGGTTACTGCTGTGTGTGTGTGTGTTTGTGTGTTACCTTCAGGGTACTTGTAGGTGTGCGTGATGTCCAGAGGTGCTGTGCTGCCTATAGCCTGGGTGTAAATAGCCTTTCCAACATAAGTCTTATCCACCCGATATGGAGTCAGAGTCCCATAGCGATCCCGCTTGTAGAAGACCATGTCACTGTTCACCTGCAGGGACGTTCAGAGTATTTATACTAGCTGTAAGAATTCTAGTTTACCCCACTGGCAGATTTTTTAACTTATCTTTGTACTTTACTATATTGAAGAATATTTGGATTGTTTCTAGAAGGTGTGTGTTATTGCTACTAAGATCTGAGTCCTTCCTCAACCTGTGTTTGTCTTTTTAAAAATCGTTGAACCAAACCTCAGCGAAGATAAATCTAGAGTCAAACGGGTGGCACAGCAGACCCTCCTTGATGGTGGTGACCGAGGCCGGACCACAGCGAAAATATCCTGAAAAACCAGACACACGTTAGTATCTGTCAACCCGGTCTGGGAATCACTGGATAATCCGTAACTAACTTTAAACAGATGTACGGTATGTTGTTGGTGTTCCTTTAATCTTTATTCCCCTTTTTATGAGAAAATATGAGAAATCAAAAAAGAGGACAGACGGGAAGCGGTGTAATATTTTGAAATAAAAGCACAACATCCACCTTTTTTTAATTTGACACCAAAAACACATCTGTTTTTAGTTGTTTAGTTTGAAATGACAAATTCCTGATTATCCAACGATACCCCGACCCCGCCTGTACCATACTGATCTGTCTGTCTGTCTGTCTGTCCGTCTGGCTGTCTCTCCTACCGTCACTGGTCTCCTGGGGCGTGGCGTCCACCGCCTGCCACCCCGAGAGGCCGGCCGGCAGGTCAGGGCGCACGGTGAACACCTCGTTCCAGCAGTGGTAGTTCCTGCAGAGCGAGACAAACAAACACTGGTTCTACAGTTTTTACTGATTAATAATATTGTTTTGTAATATTTGTAATTGTAATATATTTCAATATAGAGTTGTTTTACTCCACTACAGTTCATTTAGTAGTTAGTTAGTAATGTATGATGTGTTATTATAAGGTTTTATTTATCCTCCACACTATATTATTACTGTTACTTTTACTTTTATTTGAGATCTTCCATCACTTAAACTTAGACTTGAAGTCCAGGTGAAACATTTATCTATTTGCTGTCTTTTAGCAGGACACTGAAGTCAGCCACTCTGTATTAGGACATAATACTCAATGTTTTTACATTCATTTATAGCCTATTTAATAGTTATTTTAGCAGATAAAATGACTAAAAAAACACCTTAAAGACCAGTGTGTCATCACACAATGATGCGAGTTGAAAATGTTTCAAATGAAAAGGTTTTCAATACGCGGTGTAAAAACACCAACCAGATGGTGTCCCTGGTGTTGCTTATGTCCGGCGTGCCGTCCATCTTGAGGATGATATCAGTCTTCACGTTGCCCGTGTTGTCGTGAGCTGAATTGTAGTTGGTGATGACCCTCGACGGGATGCCGAGGCAGCGGAGGACTGCACGAAATGCTTCAGTTACTAACATCAAATATTTGAGTCTGTGTCATATCGTTCCCTCAGCTGTTTCACTTTCTGGCCCTTTGAAGAAACACACTTTAAATCCTATTACCTATTATCCTATTACCAATATATTACCTTCATGCAAAGCTTACTGAGTACCATTCATATTGAACCTTTTACTCCACTAAATTTATTTAGCAGCTGTGCTTGTTACTTTTCATAAGATTTGCATCTTCTTGTGGTCATTTTAATGTCACTTTACATCTCTGTAGTTGTTTTCTGTGTCTTTCTAGAAGCCCTGACCTGACACCCGCCTTCACCACGCTAACACTCTTACAGGTGTTGAAGACTCCAGCAAACACCCAGCACTGGCCAAAGCCAATGGGGACTCCGGTGTTGGCGTACTGCAGCAGGATTTTGACGCTCCCCGTCCAAGCTGTCGGCGCCGTGCCCATGGAGAAGTCTTCGCTCCAGTTCCCAACCAACACGCCGTTGTCGTCCTGAGAGTTAATCTTAGGGAAGAGGGAGGTCAAAGGTCAGTGACCCTCTGAGACTGAGATGTTAATTTCACAGCAGATTTTTAACGTCCGTATTCTCACCATAGCAGATCCCATCCTGACCAGTTGGACGATGTTGCCTCGGTTGTAGATCGGCATCCGAGACGCATCCAGGATGTAAATACAGGCGTCCAAGATCCCACGCTCAAACTGCAGGGACATTTACCGTTAGTAATGAGTCCATTCGTTATGATTCCTTGTGCTGCGTTTCAGTATTTGTGTATTTTTGTGTACCTGTCCATACATCCAGTTGCGCTTTGACATATCTGCAACTGTACCCTCAAAGATCACGCCGTAGTCGCTCATGACGTACTCCCTGCGTGCCGCTTCATCAGCAAGAAACACAGCGTCTTCTGCAAAGAGACGCAGACACAAGAAACAAGGAGGTCATTAAAAGTCTCTGAAACATTAACCTAGAAGCACATTGTTCACTCGATAAGATCACATCGAGAGTCAAGCTGAAGAGTTTTGTGATGCCCGTTACACAATGATGCGAGTTGAAAATGTTTCAAATGAAAAGGTTTTCAATACGCGGTGTAAAAACATCGAAACAAACAACAAATTTACCATTTTCGCAAGGTTTCTCCTTACTCAGCAACTCTCAAAAGGGAGTCTGGTGAAATCAGTTTAAATGAACAGCTGCTGCTTATACCGTAACTTAAATATTAATAATAATAAGGAATTAAATATACATGAGATTAGATAGCAGTGAAAGGTCAATAGAGGAGTTCGTACGTGGACACCAGGCGTTGAACAGCAGGTACAGGTCGGTGTTGGCGTCCCTGCTGGTTCGCTGAATGCCGCCGCCCGTAACAATGGCCACGTAGGTACGAAACTTCCCCACGATGGCGTCGGCGGTCGGTGTGACGCCCAGCAGCACCAATTCACCCTTAGTCTCCACGATCCGGCCAGACCACGGACCGCCACGACGGGAACCGAAAGTCACCGCCACCAGAGTGCCCTTACTGGGAGTGGGGTCTGAACCTGGAGGAGGAAGAGGAGGAAAATGAAACATGAAAATAAAAAGTTAATAATGTAATAATGTTAATTACAAATCTGAGCGAGTGAACATCTGTCAGACAGCAGCTGTGTGTGTTTGTGTGTGTGTTTATCTAATGACCATTAGATGGCCATGGGGAGTGTGTGAGCTAATTAGCCAGCTGAATGAATGTGACGCCGCCTAATAATGACAGTCGTCTAATTGTTTGGTAGACAAACATCTTTTCATCAGCTAATTGGTTAACGAGGGAGCTTTAACTGTTGGTCTCAGGTGGGGCCTAGCGGCGGCCACTGGGCGTGCTCCGTAACAGAAACCACACACCCCAGTTGTCCCAGTTTACTGGAAAAAAAATTAATTAAATGAGACCAGAGTGAGAAAAAAGAAGAGATTATTAATTACAGTAGCTTCCTTTCGACTGTAGGAAACGCTGCTGATTAATTATTAATAATCTTCTTATTGTTTTGGGCAACTGGATGACAATATCAATACACATTACAGTAACTGGGGCCTCTATAGCTTCTTCTTTCAGTTTCACTGAGCAAACCTAAAGAAGCTGCAGTGTTCTGCTAACTCCTCCCTCTGAGCTAATGAGCTAACAGAGCTAATGATTTAATGATCTAATGAGCAGCTGCTCTCAGAGTACGCTGCAGCTTTTACAGTCACTAGAAGCACATTCACGCTCTCTGTAAAGGTTTCTGTGAGCTACCTGTTTGTAGCTGAGCTAGCGGCTGTGTTGTCCACTCTGTGTCAGCACTGGACTCACAAGGTTCAGGCTGATTTACAACAGTAGACGGCGAGTTGAGACATTTTCAACCCACAAGACTTTCATACATTATATAGATAATGTGAATATTACCAGCAGCATTGATGTGTTTCATCATTCCTATAATTCAGTTTACAGTTAAATAAAACAGCTTCAGGTGGAGGACCTCTTTAATGACAATAAAACAAGATTTTTTGGTTTCCAAAACTTACAGATTCAAGTTTTTCTAAAGAAGAAAAGTAAATTAACTTTAATAATTATTAGATAATTTATTTTGTTTCCAAAAAAAAGGTAATGGAGACCTAACCCTAACCTTGAAGTTAAACTCTCCCGGCAGAAACTCTCAGAATCCCGACCAATAGGATGTGAGATCAGGATTCAAACTCACCAATCAGGAACTCGAGCTGGAAGTCGTCTCCTTGGGCCAGCGGGCGGTTGAAGGTGACTCGCACGACGAACTCCTGCCCACGGCGGACCACCAGGTTTTGGATGTCGTAGGTGGTGGTGTAGTGGTTTGGTTTGTTTAACTGCTGACACATGTCGACACGCTGCACCAACAGAGCCGCTGAGGAGAGAGCGCCACGTTTTTACGTTATTGATCTCTAATCTGAAAGTGTTTGGTAAATAAAGTAATAAATTAAACCAATCTTACTGCCCACAGGTGCATATGCTCTTGGCATGGCCTCTTCATCAAAAGGCTCAAATTCTGGGAAATCATCTTCATTGTTGTGAAGGTTGGTAGTCGGCACCTATAGATCATTAAAATACATTAAAACCTCTGTATGTGGGTATTTACTAGTGTTGTTAGCCTCTCTGAGCTGTTATATAATGTAGAAACAGATAAAAAGAGTTTGTGATAAAGGAGAAATCAGAGGAATGTTTTTGTTACCCACCGGCTCGCTGTAGCGCCCTTTGTAGATGTTTGATTCTTTGAACATGATGATGGATAAGTCAGAGGTTACACTGTGGTTGCTGGACAGAGAGAGAAGAAATATTTACACCTTCTAACATCCGGATCTAGAGGAATATTTGTGGTTCCCGATTTAAAATGCTGAATTTATCACCTAGAATCCTATTAAGTCTGAATGGTTGTTAAAGAAATGTAAAAAATACACACAAAGTTCCCTAAAACAATCAGGAAAACTCGTTTGTGATCAATATTAATTAACTATTAATATAATTAATAGGAAATAATCTGCTCAAAAGTTATTTTGGGTTCTTTGTTCAGTTTATCAGTTGTTCTCTACTGTTATTGTTATACATTAAATATAATATCACATATACATGAAATAAGTTTACTCAGTGACAAAAAAGGGGAAAATGTTGGGAACCAGTGACTTAATAGGTGGCAGAAATATATGCTGAATTATTTATTCATTTATTTATTATTTATTTATTTACCAGGGACAATGCACATTAATTGTATTTCAATTTTGTTTTTAGAAAACTCATTAAAGGGAAAATTAAATTAAATTATTGCGACTATTTAATTTTATTATTATTTAAGTTATATTAAATTACCTCAATAAAAGATTTTTTGTAAAAACATTAACATTTTAAAAACACTTATGAAGTCAATTGAGTTGAAATGGTAAATTTTATAATAATATTATTAATAATATTTGATTATAGAAATATTCAAGAATATTATAAAAATACAAACAACCAGATTAAATAATGTAACTCTGCTGAATATAAGATTATATGTTTTATAATATACACTATATATAATATAAAATAATACAAAGAGGAACAATAGAGTGCAACAACATTGTGACACACAACGGCATCTTTTTAATAAATTGCAAATAAGTTTTAAAAACTTATTCTAGTGAAATTATTTTAGGAATTATGTTTTTTAAATTAAAAGTTGAGAAAACTTCACTAAATGTTGAAGTTTGAAGTCAAACTTTTTTAAGCTTTTAAATAAACTTAAAATAAGTTTTGCAGATGTACGTATAATCTTCTGTTGAGAAATTATTTGGGTGCAATTAAAAATGTAGTTTTTTTTAAATATTACTTTTAACAATTGTTTTCCCCAAAAAACTTACAGACTTGAAGAAAAAAAAATGATCATTAATCATTATTAGTTTATTTAAAACGTAAGAGTTGCTTAAAATTCCCAAATTTAATCAAGACAGTTGCCTTCAAATCAAATGATGAGTTTTCTTTACCATTTAAAAACACTGAAGCACTGAACAGTTTTCTGTCTTTCAGACTATAAATAAACATATTAAATGAAATCACCTGAACGGCACTGTTTGAGCTGCGTTTAACTCATAAATACAATATGAGGTTAAAAAGGTTGTGAACCACCGACATACAATTTAATATTTAGTCTGTATGCATTTATATATTTTACATGTTTTATAAGAATTATTGGTAAATGTTATGAAATAATCTGCTTAGAATTCCTAATAGAACAAATAAATTGATTTATTAGTAAATTTCAGATTACAAATAAAATCAATATACAGACTTTAAGTATTAAGTGTGTTTGACTCACCGCTCAGATGATGGAGGAGGTTCGTCTGTCAAGACTTTGGAGATCCGATCAGCTTCGGTTTATATCCACACACTGCTTCCTCTTTTCACTCACAACAGGAAGTGTGTGTGACCTCGACCCGATCGGCTCGACCTGCTACTGATGACCGCTGTAAAAACCCTCTGATGATCCTCTGGAGACAGTCCATTAAATATATGTGACAGCAATTGATGTATAACATTAGCTGACTTAAGAGGTGACTATGTCACTTTTGTCTTTTAACCATCTTTAAAGAAGAAGAAGAAGAAGAAGATATACTTTATTGATCCCCTAGGGGGAAATTGTTTTTTTCACTCTTTTTTTTTATACACACACACACACACACAGGCTGAAATGCACACTT